ACCTACTTAATTAATTTGGAAAGATTAATAAAGTTAAATAAATTGCTTAATTATAATATATGTGATTTGATCTCCCTAAAATATTCTTGTCTAACATTGAATTATTTATTATTTTATAAATTACATAAACTAGTTTGGTAAAAATGATAAATATATGGGTAAAATGGATTAAGATCTTATAGTTAGAATTAAAATTAACTCCCTAACTAGCTTTTGTATTTAGAATTGGATAAGTATTAACGTTGCCTTTATGGATCATCATTACAAGCCTAAAGAGAATACACACACACACACACACACATATATATATATTAATTATAGGTTAGAAGTATTACTTAATCACATGCAGAATAAAAAGCAATGACATACACATGAGTCCAAAAAATGAATCCCATTAATTATATATTAAAGGTGATTCCTTTTCATGCTGACGAAACATTATTATTATTGTAGAAATTAGAAATAGACAAATATTCTGGCAAGGAAAAAAAAAAAGGGAAATAGACACATGTATGGAACATGTATAATTTAATTAAGAAAAGAGTTCTTTGATTAACTAAGCACTTAATTTAATTATCACAGCCAAATCATCAAAAAGTTAGGCGAAGTTCGCATCGGAGGAGGACAAATTAATTAATGTTGTTCATGAAACGAAGTACGGACGAGGAATCTTCGCAGCCTAACGTTTCTGCACATGAGAATCAGATAATTTCTCTACATAAACACTACTCCTCTAGTCCTATTTATAACACAGAAAGAGAAAGTGCTTTCTGATCCTATTTATAAGATACTGAGAAAATTTTTTTGTATGGATGTACAATTTTAACCCTCATTTATTATTGTTTTGACTTTGTTTATATGAGATATAATGTATATTAAATAGGGATAGAGTTGGAAAGTCATTAAATTTTAAATGAGAGTTAATGAAATTTAAAGTTTTCTTTGGTCTATGTGAAATATACTGGAAGTGCCTTATAAATAAGACCAGAGGAGTATTTCTTAATTATAATATAATATGCTTAAATAATCACTTAATTAACAGCTTATATAACACTTAATGATACGTGTTATGTGTCAAACAAGAAGTGAACATATTGTGTGTGTGTGTGTGTATTCATCACTATATATTTGAGTGTTTTGTCTTTTGTATTACTACTTCCAGTTCTTACTATAAGAACTAGTTGACTAATTTGAATAAATTAAGAAAATTAATTACATTAGTTATTTGTAACAAATATATGTTATCTTTTCTAAAATGTCTTTGTTAATCAAGTATATTGATTAGAACAACTATTATTATAATGACTAGCTTAAAAAAATGAGTAAATATGATAGACAAAATGGATTAGAATATTATATTTATGACCAAAATAAAAATCAAACAAACTCTTATATCAAAGATCGGAGGTAGCCATATATGGATAATGCGTGCAGATTCTCGCCAATAAGTGAACATATATACTACCCCCTTTTAAACAATTTTTGGTTGGTTGATTGTATGTATCAGCTTAAGCACAATTCCTAAGTTTAAAGTAGACTAACCATTTGACTCATGTTTTATTTAAAAATCCTCAATATAGGGCCCTAAAAAAAAAAAAAGAAATATCGAATAGCATACTTTATTAAAGGTTAAGTATTCGAATGTAATTATATTTACTTTAAAATGAAAAATTAGAATATCTTGAATATTTGAAAGATTATTAAATAGACTTTGATCGGTATATTCATCATAAGTTATGAGTTTTTATTATATAAAATTCATTTATTTATACTTCAAAATACATGGATATTCATTGTAACATTCCTTCGCATTACTTGCTTCATGTTAGAGCATGTAAATGGGATCCGGTTTAAGATGGGTATCCAAGACTCATCCTCTTTAGACCGTTCAAAATTAATATTTTTAATTAATTATTTTTAAAATAAAATTTATTTTAAAAAAATTAATAATTAAAAAATTATCTTTATTTGAGATTTTTATCCATTAAAATAATTATTTTAAAAAAATAAAATCTAAATTTAAATTTGGACGAGGGGATGAGTTAAAAAATGAGCTTCTAAACTGGTTTCCATGTGAACGTGAGCGATGCTCACGGTTTACAAAAATGACTGTTATTCCAAATGCATTTTGTAAATTGAAGTTGAGGTAAAATTGTTGTACGAGAATGTTGCTCTTTGATCAATGAATGTGTTCCTCTCCGTTATTTGTTCTTGACTTCTTGTTATTTTCTATCGTTGGGAAAAGACGCTGGCTACTTTTCATTACTAACCTAATGATTTCCATGGACCTACCCTCTAAAGAATTCGATGGTGTGCCTACTTAGGCCCATGGGTGAGCACGGCCCAAGCATGGCTAGCCCAAAAGTTTTGGGGGGAGGGGGTTGATCAAGTTCGTTGACTTTGAACGGGCAACTTGAGCCCACATAACAGACATTCCTTCTGGTCCTTGTGGAATTGAAAGTGATCAAAGTGGTTAAAAGTTGGTTTGTCATACCCACAAACCCATGATATCATCTACTAATAGGAGTTAAGTATAACGAAAGAATTTAGTCCTTCACAACATGACAAACTGAAGTTTGGATTCCCACTATGAGAGGTGCCTCACATTTAATGCTAAACAGTGCTTCGAATAGAATCGTCTCCAATCAGAAAACAGTTATCCTTAAAAAAAAATGATATCATCTTTAATTAATAATATGCCCATTTATAATTTAAAAAGATTTGTATATGAAGAACTCGTTGTCCATATCTAAGAAGAAGATAAAGAAGTTCTCCATGACTTGGAGAAAACCAGACCAAAGAGCCATTGTCTTCATGCCATCCTCCATTGTCATTGGCTTTCTTAGAGAGAAAGGGTGATGGGGTAAAATGATCCCAATCCTGTCATATTTCATGGAATATTAATATAAGAGCTACTTAATTAATTTAGATAGATTTAAGAAATTAAATAAATTAACATACGTGACATCATTTCTCTAAAATATCTATGCATAACATTATATTGTATATTAGTTTATAAATAAGTTAAATTAGATTGGGAAAAAAAAATTAACAATATAAGAGATGAAATGACTTAAAATTTTATAATCAATGACCAGAGTTAGTAATTAATAAATTCAGTAACATTTTTTTATCATCAAGCCAACAATAATACAAATGGAGACATAACTAAATGGATTAGTGCATTGCTCTTAAATTTGCTCTACTTAACTGTGATAAATTTTCTGGTTATAATATTAGTATTGAAATGGATTGTGAAGAACTATTAAGAACAATTCATAGCAAATCATTAGATAAAGTGGCATGGCAAAGTTTTTCAATTATTTCGAGATCTTTCAATTGATTGAACTAAAATCAAGGAAATTGTTCAGGAATTGGATAATATGGCTGTTTTGCTTAGTCTCGTTTTGTTGCTGTTTTATTGTAGCTGTTTTTCTTCGGTTGTTCTGCTTTATGTATTAAATATAGGATAATGATAACTAAAACTCATTATCTATATTCATTTTATGGTATAAAATATGGCCTTATATGTTTATTTTTGGAAGATTTATGAGGGGTTAAAATAAAACGTGGATTATTTCTAGAGAAATAGGGAATGAAAGAGCTATTTCTATTCCATATACATAAAATTAATTAGTTAGTTATCTCAACCATGATTACTTGATCATATATTTCTATATTATCATGAGAGGGGGAATGCATCTTTCTTTCACATATAGAAGAATATTATAGGAGCATTTCGTTACTCACAAAAGTATTTTTTAAAAATATTTTTACGTAGACTGAAATAAAACTTTTCTCACATGTTTATTTTTTATACCATAAAATTATTTTTAAAATATGGTTTGGTTTCTATTCAAACACATCCTATATCATATTAATGTACATGCTTTAATATGATTCATTTAATCATAGAAAGAAACAAGAAATTCGTACTTTTGTCAATTTATTTCAAATTTAATAATGATTGAGATTATTTAATTGGGCCAGTAATAGGTATAATCATTTGAAAAAGTATAAAAGTTAATTGATATTACCAATTGCGGGGAAAATACAACAAGGTGTCGTGGTGTAGTTGGTTATCACGTCAGTCTAACACACTGAAGGTCTCCGGTTCGAGTCCGGGCGACGCCATTTGTGTTTGCAATTTTTTAATGATCATTTTAGTTTTCCCGACGCAATCAAAACGTTGTCGTGTTGATGTGGAGCAACTTTTCCCTTTACGCGCCGACGCGCCGTGTTCAAAGCCGCGTAATTCTCACGTTACCGGGCCCCACATAAGGGACCCGAAGAAATTGGCCGTTCGTTCCTTCGTGCTTCCAACGAATCCCACCCAATCACATTCGTTTCCATACAACTTCCTCGATTCTCATTGGCTTGTTGACTCCACGTCATCACTCCTCGAATCTCTACCACACGCCCTGCAATTACCAGGGAGATTCCTCCTTGATCCCAACTCAAATCTTGATTTCCCACAATGGTTAACCGAGTAATAATTCTATCTTCTAATATCCCAAAAAAAAAAAAAAAAAGATATCCAGTTTTATACTCCTCCGGTCCTAATTATAAGACCCAATTGACTTATTTGAGGAGATTAAGGAAGTAAGTTAAGTTGGTTATTTATAATAAATAAGTGTTGTTATTCCTAAAATATCCTTGCTAATTAAGTATATTGGCTAAAACTATCATTATTAGAAGGATTATCTTGGAAAAAATGCATAAATATAAGAGAGAAAATGGATTGGGTCTTATAATTAGGACCAAATAAAAAGTCAAATTGGGTCTTATAATAAGGATCGGAGGAGTATTATCTGTTAAAAAGGACTGTTTTACGCCAATTAACGAAATGCAGGTGATTCAGTGATTGACTCTATTATTATTTAATTTAAATTTAAAGTTGATTAATTTATCTTTTTTATCTTAATTAAATTAAAATTAAAAATTATTCAAAATATAGCTTGGGCTATAAATGGACCACCCCGCAATATCATGTTGGAGGGTTCGAGGGGCTTCTTTGTGGGATTTCGGGTGTCTTCTTCTTGTTTCAATCTTCTTCCCATTCTGTGTCAATTCTTCTGTGTTTTTGCCACGAGATGGGATTGCTTCGCTTTCGGATCAGTGCATTCGCTTTGCTTTTCTTTTCTTCCTTCTCCTCGGCTTTGCCTTCCACCTCCGATGTCGTCAACCCGCCCTACCCCAAGGCGATTGCTGTATGTCGGCTTTGTTTTGGATTTTCTTCTTCTTCGTATTCTTCTTTTTGCCTCCTTGTGTTTTGTTTCCCGCAATGTGATGGAGAATTATGAAAGAAAAATTCTTCGTTTATGATCTTTTAAGTTTTCGACCGTTGGAGCTTTGGATTTTTTTTTTGGGGGGTTAATCTGGTTTTTCTCTTGAACGGTGCTTTGCAACCGGGGAGAATTATGAAAAGTAACTTTGTTCTTGCGATTTCTTTTTTCTGGGTGTTTTAACTGATTTCTGTAAATCAGCTTATTTGTCGATACGGTTCTGATGATGGAATACGCGGTATTTACAGGATTTAAAAGAGGCGATTGTGAACGGATTGGGGTTTCCGTCGGAGGATTTCAAGATAAGTGGGTTTGATCCGAGGGATGCCCAAGTGGGGCATTCTGTGGCCTATGAATTCGACCTGGAGATTGATCAGAAGGTTATTCCGTTCAAGTTCTTAGAGGACGTGAACCGGTGGGATTACGTTGATCTTCCGATTTTCCGGATTGAGGAACCGGCAAAACCCGGCGAAGAAAAGGCTCTGGTTGAGAAGAGGAGATCGGATAATAAGTTACCAGTTTTGGCTCCGTTCCGATTGGCGGGACCCATGGAACTCTGGCTTCAGGACGCCAAGGATATGAGGATTTCTCTCCCTGTAAGTTTTTTTATTCCATTCTTATAATATTATTCGTCCTACATATGACAGTTGCCATTTTTGGATTAGACACACAGTGTAGCACAACTTGCATGAAATCTGGTGAATTGATATAAAATTTAAGAGATGTTGTAATATCGGTATTGATATATTGATGTATTGATTGATGAGTCCTTTCATGTGAGACCGGATGTAATTTGCATAATAATATACGACTGGAAAGGAATTATAGTCTGTGAACGAATACGTTCTTGCCAGATGCATTGCAACAGACCACATTGCATTTAGGAGTTATGTGTGATCATGTTTCTGTATTTTTGTGCCAGCGTCTTGTGTCTTGTATCCATGTTAGAATCTGTACTTTTCATCTCAAATGTAATTAAATTAGTGGATTTGTACAAGAATTGAGATGACATAGTGGATAATGGCGATAATTTAAACTTTAGTGCTATTTACGTTTGTTATTGATCTTATCTGTCTCACTCAAATATTAAGGATTTAATTTGTTCCCAAACCTGTTGGATTTTTTATACAAGTATATTGGTGTGTTAATACTTAGTGACTCTGTTTTAGGTTGGTACCTTTAAAGCACCAACACTTAAGAACGAAATCAGGTCATGTCAGGATGTGCCATATTTCAAATTCAACTTTAATATTTCAGTTTTTGGTTGTGTTGCGGTCTAGTATCCATGCCAGTAGTGGCTATGATGGCAAAAAAATGATGTATTGTGATGGAACGAAGAGTAATGTAATCTTCGGTCAATCTGCATAATTAGTAGGACATCCCTGTCAATGTGTATGGAATGAGATGGTTACTTCCTCCCTTTTAACTAGAACTCGTATGGTTTTGCAGCATGATGTTGATGCTGGCGTGCTCAAGAAAGTCATACTAGCAGATGGTGCCGTTGTCACTGTCAAAGGCGCAAGATCAGTTAGCCTTCGTAAACCACTTGATCTCCCCCTCCCCTTAAACAAATCACAGAGTGGATTTGCCGTTGGTCTTATGGCCTTGGCAGAGCAGCTCCGCCACACATCTCGCTCCCGCACGCAGGATGACCCTCTTCTCTCACTCCGCATTGTTGGTGCAACATCACTTTCATCCCCTTCCTCATCGACAACCTCTTCACATAACCGGCTCAAGCTCAAGCGCCTCGCGCCAGGTCTGGTGGAACTGTCTTCCCCGTTAAACACTAAGGCCATTGAAGCACTATCCCCAATTGATATCCAAAATGATGCTCCAACTCTGTTGACGCCAACTCAGTTTGCCACAATGTGGCCTATTGCTTCCATCAATGGATCAAACGCTAACTTGTTGGGTTTTGAGGCTCTCTTATCTTCTGTGTTGGGTCCTAAGGCAAACAAGAAAGGCTCCTTCAAGTTGTTGAAGGCAGATGTTTCTGCTCAGACATTCGTGAAGATAGGGTTTCAGGCAGAGAAGAAGCTGAAGGAAGGAGATGGCGATTTGTTTAAGGATTTCCCGGAATGGAGGACTAAGCCAGAGACTGTGAAGATGCATTTTGAGGTGCTAGCAAAGGTTGATGGTGATAAAGTGATACCGGAGAGAGTGATGCCTGTAAACCCGTGATTATTGAAGACACTGTGGCCCCAATTTACTGACTGGAAACGTGAGCATGTCTAAGGTACCAATAATCTACACTCCTTCCAACCCCTTCACCTTGTAAGATGATGAAGGAGTTTGATTTTGTTGGAGTCAACGAACGGAATTGTAAAATATAGGATGTTTTTAATTTTTAACTTGATTATATTCTTTTTCTTTCTTTTGAAAGAACTTGATTATATACGTAAGCATCACGAAACCTGTAAATATGTATTTTGATGAGATGCGATGTTCCAATATACCATCATAAAGAATTAGAATACGCGCAAGAGCTGCACTTCGTTTGACTTGTGACTCTGAGGGTGCGTGGGATTTTTCCTTCATGTGGTGTATGTTGGCACAAAAGCAAAATAGCTCACAGGGTCCCAGAAAATCTGTGAAGTTCCCCCATTGAAAACGAAATTGGATCTTTTGGAATAACGAAGTGACACACATGGAAGTGAGCATATGATCTAATATTTTTCCTTTACAAATGACAGATTGTCTTAAAGAGGATTCACTCAACAGACTCTTGTAGATGAGAAGTAATACCAGTTTCAATTTATTATATAAATAAATAACTATTCATGAACTTTTAAGACCTTACATCTACAGTTGTGCACTTTATTTCGGATGTAAATTGTACGAAATTAATATAGATAGTTCATTGTGTTGAATCCGAAGTTCAGATCGCCTGCTGAACTTACAATATGGTTTTCCAGTATGCTCAAATTTCATACGATTGGTAAAACCGAAAATACACGAGGAGGATCGAGAAAAATCTAATATGAACAGGGGGATTATTATTATTTCACAAGGTCGTTGTCGTTGATACGAAAACCAGCCAACTCCTGACCTCTCATTTAACCTCTGATGAAGTCAATCCCTTTCTGGATGCTTCCTGCCAACTCTTTCTTTGCTTTCTCTAAGCCCATCCTATGAAAGCAATCAAACAAAAGTCAGCCTTCTGCGTTGCTTGGTGGTTCCAACAGAGAAATTAGCAGAAAACTGGATGCTCGAAAGTCATACCTTTCGTACTCATTCAGGGGACCAAGTTGATAAACTTCCTCTGCTCCGGCACGGCCAATACGTACCTTGGTTGCGAAAAAGGGGAGTTCCGTAACCTATTAAAGAGATCATCCATTATTATCAAAACAAGTCCAAAAGCAACGTAGGAAGTGTCCAAGGCAAAGGACTGGAATGTCAGACCTGAGAAGCAACAAAAGCACACTCTACCACTCCGGCTTCTCCTTTCAAGCCTCGAAGACATGCGCCAGCAAACTTGGCAGCGGCATATGCCTGCATGATCAAAAGTGAACTTTCTAGTTCGTTAGTTTGTCCAATAGGAGTAGGTAGGATTCACTGGTGCTAGTTAATAATAGTTTCTGAAATTGCAAATATTTTAAGGAAAGCTGCTGACCATTGATAGAGTAGCAGAACCAGCCCCAGCCTTTGCCTGTAACATGAATGGTTGCCATTAGATTATGAGTTCATGATGAGCAGATCACAACCACAACTTTGTTTTTTTTTTTTTGGGGGGGGGTTGGTGTTTATAATAGTGAGACTGAACCATTGTGAATATCCTTAAGAATAACCTAGGTTGTAGCTAAGAGCATATAGTCAAATCAAGAACAAGCTTGAATTATTAATATCTTAGTCAGTCAGAACGTTCACTTGAGCAAGGATTTTATTTTATCGTCGTCAAGCATCCATTGAGAAGGGTATAACTGGTGCAATTGGGCTCTTACTTGATCTCATCATAGAAGCACTAATACCTGCCAGTAATGCTATCAATTGTTTTTTAATTTAAATATTTGATTGAAATTTCACAACAGCAATATGGCATCAATCAGGTGTCAGAACCTTCTAAAGGGAAGGTATAGGAGCTCAGATGATCATCTTGATGAATCCTTTCGAGGGGTATGGGAGAAGTATATTAGAAGGAAAGAGAGAATAGGACTGGAGATTATCAATATAGCCAGCAAAGCCACAAATTAAGATTAATTAATCAAATTTCAGTCTACTTAAATCAAAACTCTAGATAATCGAACCCTATAACATCACCTCAACAACTTCTGTTCCACCATTTTGGATGCGGTTGGTAAGGTAATCAACTTCCTCAGGACTGAAGCTACTAGGAGGCTTAACCTACAAAAAAACCAAGTTAAGAGGATCAATTGCCCAGTTGTATCATCCAATATCTGCATCAGAGGGACTTTCAAAGGAAAAACCTGTGACAACAGAGGCAATATTGTGACTCCTGCATGACCTCCCACAACAGGAACATCAACCTCTCGAGGATCAAGACCCAGTACCTCTGCCTGCAAGAAAAACGAGAAAGTTTTTACATCAAGAACAAAACGAATGATGAATTAAAGGCTTTTTCCTTTGACGGTCCTAACTTTTGCTTACCACAAAAGTGTTTGCCCTCACAACATCAAGAGTTGTAACACCGAGTAGCCGCTTTGGATCATATGTGCCAGCTTTCTTAAAAACTTCTGCAGCAATCGCGACAGTGGAGTTCACTGGATTGCTAATCAAGTTGACAATAGCATTGGGACAGCACTTGGCAATTCCTTCACAAAGAGTCCTCACAATTCCAGCATTTATTTTAAACAAATCATCCCTTGTCATTCCGGGTTTCCTAGGAACACCAGCTGGTATAATCACCAAATCCATGCCAGTGAGCGCACTCTCAAGCTGTGGTTGGCCCAAGAAGCCACGCACCTAGAAAACTCAAAATGAGTTGCAAATAACTACCCTTAGCTCCTTAAAACAAAGAACAAGTTACAAATACAGACTTTTAAACATGCCCTACCAAGCATTCACTAAAAACATAATAAATAAACATTTTCCCCCGTGCATCAGTAAATTACTAACTTCTTCAAAAGAAATCTCACGTCATAATTTGACTGAAAAATGTGATAGCAAATACACAAGAATTTTGGCCGAGGTTTTCTTGCAAGAATAATCCCGATACATACCCAAAAAAAGAAGAACGACAATGCAAAAAAAGGTTATTTAATTTTAAGATTCAAAATCAATTATTAATCAACAACGAAATACACCGAAAATAGGACACAACACAAAAAAATATGCATTGTGTAAGTGCAATTTGGGATCCAAAGCTATCTCAATTTGGTCAAAGTATACGTGCTTCATAGATCAACTTAATTTGGCCCAAGTATACGCGCTTCATAGATCAACAATTCAGTAATAAGATTGCAAGTAGCAGCCATGTAAGAAATTTACCACAGCTCCAGTGTCCATGTGACTAACATCAGCCGTGACACCAGGGGCGTTTACAACATCGTAAAGATGAAGAACTGAAACTAGTGGGTTCATCTTCATCAGCAAAGCAAGGGGTTGGCCAATTCCCCCAGCAGCACCTAAGATAGCAACTCTGAATCCAGGGGACCCACCTTTCGCTCTGCAATCAACTCTCTTCAGATGAACATCACCTCCTTCCTATCAAATTCAATATGCAAATAGCATATCAAATTCACATGATAACGCAACAATTTTTGACAACTATGTTATAACGAACCATTACGATAGATTTAGATTTAGTTCTAGGCGTTGCTAGATTGAGAATTAAAGCTTCAAATTTTGTCATTTGGTTGTGTGAATTGTCCGAGTTTGAATTTCTTACCAAAATCGAAAATCAATACGAGCTTTGAAGAATAAATACCAGAAGAGGAGACAAGAATTGAAGCGAAAAAAAGGGAAGAAACCTGGAAACTAGGAGGCAGAAGCTGATTCGTGATTGTTGCAATGCGGCGATTGGCCTGTGCATTAGCTTCCATTTCTCTGTTCTTCCAGCGAAAATACAGACAGGGATGGGGAGTTCCGGTGTAGAAGAGCTATATATGAATTGGGCTAAATAATAATATCATGAAACAAGACAAGAATAATCATGTTCGTTTCTTTTCTGTCGATAATCTCGTCTTTGGCCATGCATGAATTTTTTGTGGAATGGGATTTTCTGATCCATTATCCTATCTATCTCATGCCCAAAATGTAAGGCTCTCAGAATTTTATCAGACAACTTCCACAAAACCTATTTTGTTTTGCTGATCAAGACCACCATGTCTGGTAGTGTCTTGGTTTTTTTTTTTTTTTTTGAAAAAAATTAATAAACTCATAAATCACGATGCCCTTTTTCCGGATGCATCCCTCCTGCTGTTTTTTTTTTTTTTCCGTGCCGGGAGATCTATCTCTCCTGTTTATAACTTGATTAAAATACTTTTTAATTTAATTTTAAACAAATTGATGAGTAGATATAATATTTTAAATCTACATTTACAAATATAAAAATTTAACAAGTCAAACTATTCCTGAGGTATAAAAAATATAGTTTTCTTTTTCATTAGAACCCTTTAAAAAATTCACACTAATTTTTTAATAATCCTATTATCTTGATACCTTGTCTCAAAGATTAAGTCAATTATTAATAATAATATAACTTGCTTCAAAGTTTAAATCCCATGCAAAGCATAAGGTCTTATATAGTTATATATAATCCAACTGATATCAAGCATTTTTCTTAAGTCTATTTAAAGCATGGTACCGTGAGTTCAAACTTCTAGTAGAGGATCTAATGAGTGCGTTAATTATGATAAAAAAAAAAATCCATGCAAAGGAAGGAAAAATTATCATGAAAAAAATATAGCAATAGCTATGAGGGGTGATGAATAGGGGATCCTAATAAAAGAATTTAATTACTAAAAAATTCTAATAACAATTAGCAGTATAAATTAATTGTTATTTTTTATACTTGAATTCGTCATTACATTCTCCTCCGTTGACTTCATGATAATTAAATGTCTTCTTTGGAGCTGATTGCAATTCCCCGTGAACATATGGGATCATATATTATCAAAATACGTGTGCGCCCGGAATCATTAGTATCATCAAAGCTACGTACTCGGTACTCCTCCGATTCTTAATATAAAACCTATTTAACTAATTTGATTAGATTAAAAAAAGTTAGGTGAATTAATTAGTTATAAGAAATATGACATATTTTTCCTAAAATACTATAATCTTCTTTAATATCATTTCTCCTCTTCTACTTGATTGATTATGGTGAGGGAATATCCATAAAAGTAATTTAGAAAAAATTAATAAATATGAGAAATAGGTTTTAATTTAGAACCAAAATCAAGTTAATAATTAGGTCCTGTATTAAAGACCGAAGAAGTATCTCCTTCATTCGAAAAAAGCTATCTATCTACCTCCTTTGGGCCCGAAAGTCCAAATGAATAGGAGGGCCCATTTCTATGGTAAATGGGGCGTCTTTTGATGG